TTTTTTGGCTGGTTTTCCTTCAACAGTCTCTTTGTGGGTTGACTACTGTGCTACTTACTTCCAAAGAAGACATTCTAGAGAGTTCTGGGACCCAGGTAACAACAAGTTATATGGTAGGACATTCCTACATCACTTGTAATTAATTTTGGTTAAAAAAAAGTCAACTCGGGGCACCTGGGTGGCTCAGTCGTTAAGCGTCTGCCTTCGGCTCAGGTCATGATCCCAGGGTCCTTGGATCGAGCCCCACATCGGGCTCCCTGCTCCGCAGGAAGCCTGCTTCTCCCTCTCCCACTCCCCCTGCTTGTGTTCCCTCTCTCACTGTGTCTCTCTCTGTCAAATAAATAAATAAAAAATCTTAAAAAAAAAAATCAACTCAAGAAAAAAAAAAAAAGAAGTTTTAGATCGACTTAATGTTACATATCAGAGACAAATTTCAATGCTAATCATGCAATAGGAGCAAAGGTCATGGCGATGTAATAGGCTGAACCAAATGAAACTGCCAATGTTGGACTATTCAACATACAAAAGCACAACAATTTCATATGCTCCATCTTAACAGCAGTAACTACACCAACGGCAGCTTCATCAGCACTTTGAGGCAGCCTTCACCTCCTGTCCCATGCTGGATGAGGACAGCTAAGCTGAACAAGAGGTTTATTAACTGTGACACAAAGTTGTTTGCATGCTAAGTCATGTTCTGGTTTATAGGCTCAAATGAAAAAAAAAAAAAAACTAGAGAAAGGAAGAAAAAAATACAAGAGGAAGAATGACAACAAAACAACAGAAAGAGAAGAATAAGGTGATCGTGGGGCAGTTGTCCTCTTTAAAAGAGAGGGAGAAATTGTGATTTTTTTACGATTTTATCACTATGAATATGGAAAATGGATATAATTTTTTCCACACATACAAATGCTACTTACATAGTGAAAACACTAACATAACAGGGAATTAACATTTACTGAGTGCTTACTATGTTCTATTAGGCACTTTACATACTTTTCCATTAAGTATGAATAAGAACATTTCATTTATAAGATGAATAAGGTCTGAAAATCCAATGCATGCTATGGTGACTACAGTTTATAATACACTATTGTATAATCTGCTAAGAGTAGAACTTAAATGTTCTCCACCCCCAACTCCCTCCCCCGCCAAAAAAAGGGTAAATATGTGAGGTGATGGATGTGTTAACTAGATGGGGAAGATGATTCACAATGTATGTCAAATCTCAAATCATCCCACTGTACACTTTAAATATCTCACAATTTTGTCAATTATATCTCAGTAAAGCTGGGAAAAATCTGAATAAAACAAGAGTCTGGTGGTTTCATACAATTTCTTAAAGGTGAGATTATTACCCTCATGCAAGAGTATCATAGCTCTTAAGGACTAAATTAACGTCTGAAGCCAGCTCTGGCTCCAAAGCCTGTATTTCTTCTTCCTCAGTCTAATGTCTATAATGCAATGAGCTCTACTGTTATACAAGAAGTTTTTTATTTAATTTAAACACTTGTCATTTTAATTCAGAAGCTTAAACATCTCATGCGGTATAATTTAAGTGTGTTATTGCTGAGCAAGGAAAATTTAGCACAAAAAGGAACAGGATAACCATTTTATATGCTGAGAAACACTGTGATACACATTTTATTTCAAGCAAAAAAATTTTTCTAAGGTAAGTTGAAATCCAATTCAACAAATAGTTGAGGTTCTATTGTTTATCAAACACTGTGAAGAAAGACCTGCATAAAGTTACAGTCCCATAATTAATAATCTGGTTAGATACAGAGGTAAAAGTGGTGAAGATTCACCATTAATAAATGGAACTGGAAATACTCAAATACCCACCATTTTCACATGTACAGCAGAATCTTGATTAGGCATTTCTTGGTTATCCAATCTTCTGGATTTCCCCAGGTGATGTCACAGTAAAAGAGAGAGAAAAAAGGTACATGTGACATACATATATTTCAGGCTGTTCCTGTAGTTAATGACATAGTAAGGTGGTACTTTTGGTTTGACTTAAATACCAAGTTACTGAAGGCACCTTTTCCTCTTTTCCTAAGAAGCTCAGCAAAGATTTTCTCTATCTTACAAAGGTTGGAGTTAAAAATTTTGTATGAAAAACTTGCAACTCTCCTATAAGAACTTATATAGTGTTAGTAAGATTTGAATAAAGTTTATATTTGCAAGAAAATGCTTTATTAGAAGAATATTTTATCAACATTTTCTCTACATATAAGGATGAAGTTTGTGGGAAAATTATGCATTGCTATTACTGAATCAATGGAGGAAGATATGAATAGAACATAAGGAGAAACATAATACACAAAAGTCAAGTTTATTCTTCAATTTTCCCATATTAAACTCTAATTTTGTGAAATGAGGCAACTACTCTCTGAGTTAGTGTCTGACCCAGAATAAGTATGTGATAGTGTTAACTAAATGATAATTTTATGGGTTTGGGTGGAATTTATACATATCAATTTGTTAAGCTAAAAGGAATAGTTTTTATAATCTCTCCTAATAAAATAAAATACCTCTTATCATTTTTTTTTCCATTTTTTCAGTATCAATCTTAGGGAAAATTACTTTTGTTCCTCAATGACTTTACTTTTACTTTATACTAGGTAAGTAAATTTTTTTAACAAAAGCAGTATTTAAAAAGGGCAACTTTATCAAAAGGGAAAAAACCTGACTTTTTCTTAAAAGTTGGACATTATAGGGGTACCTGGGTGGTGCAGTCAATTAAGTGACTGACTCTTGGTTTTGGATCAGGTCGAGATCTCCGGGTTGTGAGACTGAACCCCTCAACAGGCTCTGCGATCAGTGTGGAGTCTGCTTAAGACTTTCCCTGCCCCTCCCCCTGCTCTCGCTCTCTTTAAAATAAATAATCTTAAAAAAGTTGGACATTATATCTGTGTTCTTTATAATTAAAATATATTGTAGCAGATACATAAAATTTCTCAATTCTAAAATTCATTCCTCCCTCCTTCCATTTTAAATGCATAAAATTGGGAAATATCTTATAAAAAGGTATTCCCTGCCCCCTCAGAAAAGCTGTTAGTAAGTTAATGGTCTTATAATTGATGGCATCTTCAAGCTGAGTAAACAGTATTTCCAAATAGTAAGATACCTCCAATTTTTCACAACCAAAAAATAATACAGTATCTGCAGAAGTACCTATTTATCTATCTATATACTCTATATAACTCATAAACATTTTGATCACTACCCCCAAAATGTAACTGTAATGGTAGTTTGAGGGTTAGTAATCTTTAGATGATTGTAGTCAAATTTAAGTAACCCTTCCTTTCTGCTGATCCTTGATCTTAAATAAAGAAGATGCCACAGAAGTTGCCTGCAAATCTCTTTCTTCATTTATAGAAACCAAAGCATACAATATACTTATGGTTTTCCTTTGATGTTTAATATCTGAACAGGGTTCTATATTTCTCGGAAAGCATTATTTTAAATAAAACCATTTTATTAGCTTGAAAAAGAGGAAGGAGAATGTGGAAAAGTACCGTAGAGTTTATAAAACACTTGAAAAGCCCAAAGGAACACAGAATTCAAGCAGTGCAGAATACATTTTAATATCTGGGAATCTCAGCTCTTCTTGTTGCACAGAGCCAGGCAGTCCAATTCCTGTTCCCCCCACCACCAAGTTTGGCTCATTTATGTAAAAAAAGATAAGAGGGGGAAAAAGCCAGTGTCAGTAAGTAAAAAAGTAATTGTCTTTCTCATGGTCTCTACATATTTTATTCAAACAAAACACAAACAAAAACAGAGTCATCAGAAATTTGATAATGGCCAATTTTAGGACATTATTTTTGATAGGTAAACCTACTAGTTCATGGATTCTATGCAAATATCAACTGAAGGTCCTTCATTCTTCCCGATCCTCACTGGCAATCTGACCAGAATGTATCCTTGTTCAGAGATAATATCACATAAAGTGATACTGTTGTCCTAATGTAAAAATCACCCCATTGTCTCTATAATTACAGAAGTGTCAATAGTAAGGCATAAATGCCAGCATTTTGGCACTATTCTAAGGAAGACACTGAAAATTAAGGCAGGGTATTTTTAAACCAATCGGCTTGTAAACCTATACTTGGTATATAATGTTCTGGCTCACTTTGCCAGCAGTCATCTGTTGCAGATGCTTCAAGAGAAGAGCTGCTGGAAAAAACACATCAAGTACAGAAGACACGTTCAAAAATAGAAAATACTAGCCTGGAAGTATGAACCCTCTTCATAGGAAGTTTTGAAGTTTTAGTCTTTTGAATTTTTAATGTCGACTAGAAAGTGTGGGAATTGGAAAATAATTCTAGGCTTTCGCTATGAGGTTAGGGTCTCTGCTCTAACGGTGTTCATTACACAGAATATGTAGGACAAAGCTAAAGACTGAAGCAAGAGGTAAGAACTTCATTGGAATAGCACAAACTTGATAACTGAGAAGTTTTAGTGACTGTGATTATTTCCTTCTGAGATCATTAATTTTACCTTGAAAAGACAGTGATAAATCAATGACTGAATATGTCTGTCTACATGAAAAAATTTTACTTGCCTTTATACAAGTTTTAAAGTATCTGAATGCCAACTGAATATTTTTAAAGGCCCACTTGGCTCTGTCTTATGGGAAAGTGAAAAAGATTAAGTTCATCAATATCATTGGCTTAAAAAGTTGTGGTCCTGCTTCAGTTGTGATACTTGCAGAAACATTTACACGACACAACAATAAGGTAATGAAATTTTGAATGGTAAACTGTATTACTACTTATATAAGAAAAGGCAGGTATTACTATAATATGGACAGAGTATCAGCAACAGTACTAAACTTCCAAATGAATCCATTTTTTGCTGCACTTTTCCAGCAACCTGTATTACTTGTCTTAAGCTTACTTCTGTTTTTAATAATGACACTTGGGTGATTAGCACAAGAAAAATCAAACATAAGTTTGTTATTTCAGTAGCACTGTACATCAGTTTCTTGGATCATTTGAATAATTCAATAAATGATTTTCAAGGCAGCAGTGAAAAAAAATATACAAACTGGAAAGTGAAACTTTCTCGATACAGACATGAGACAAAAATGAAACTGAATATTCTCAGGTCTTTCCTGAGCCTGTTGGGGGAAAGAGAAACTGAGGTGGGAAGGGAAGAGAAGGAGATAGAAGAGAGGAAAAATAAATTTCAAAGGCTAGTTATTTAAAAATTGGCAATTTATACCAATTTTCTTAAATAGTAAAGCTTGGCTTCTCAGTCAGAATTTTATGGATACTTAAGAAAATACATAATTTCAGAGCTTAGAATTTATTCATATATGCATCCCACTCCCCATGGCCCTAATATCTAATAGCATTTTTCAAGCTGAGTAAACCAAGGGACATGGAAATTAAGTAATTTATACTGATTACCCTTATTGCTCTCTGAGTTGTCTTTGAATTTGTCCTAGAACAACAGCATAGGTGGTAGGCAATATCCAGAGATGGAGGGGACTTGGATATAGACTGCCAATAAAAACCTTAAGAAATGGTCTGCTGCATTATCTAATTCTCCTGATTAAAAAAAACAAAAACAAATAACTATAAAAAATAAGGTAAATCCAATTATTTAAAACTAAGTTAGCCACAACATTCTAGGGTTTTATAGCAATATATGCTTGAATCTTAATTCTCAATATACAATTTGTTATAAATCTCAGAGACTGTAATCCAGCTTTTATCAATTCATAAAACATACCAATATAATCCTATTCCATAATATCTTAGATAAAACAAGCACAAAATAAAAATTCATTATCTTTATTACTAGGCATAATATATGGTTCCTAGACTTAGGGACACAAAGCATGTGGCAATCAGCAAAATTGAGTCACAGAGCAACTAAATGAACAACAAAATTGGATCTTACAGTGCCTTTTTTTCCTTTGAAAAGAGATTTTTGAAGATACATTGCTTTTTCTCAACATGTACATGTGAAACAAGAAGCTCTTAAAATTAGATGCTTTAAATTGTAATTTCAGAGACCCAAGACACTGCAAAGTTTTACATATTCATATCTTTGCAAACTGTAAAGTTTTACATTATACTGCTTTATTCTATTTTTATTTCCTTCATCTGTATTTTTAAATGCTCACAATTTCAACAAGATACTGAACCAAATAAGAGTCAGATAAAGTTAAGCCAGAGAAACTTATTTGTTTACATGAACTGTACACACTTACCCTGAAGGTAACCGGACAAGCTACGCCAGCAAAAGAAAATTCTTCCTGTCTGAGAAGTACTAATATAGCACAAGGTGCAACTGAGGGCGGTTCCAAAACCCTTGGCTAAGCTCTATGCAAAAATGGTCTTGTGACGCATTACTACACAGTGCCTTATTATCCTCCGGGTGACACTTGCTGGCTCTGAGCTAACAGTCACCAGCCAGTCTACAGAAAATGATCAATTGAAATAATGTGACAGTTAAGAGAAGGTAAATCTGTACTATTAGAGCTGGCAACTTGCTCTGCGAAGAAAAACGGAATCTCCATGTTAACACTTAAAAATATTCCCTTTCTCATTCTGTTTTTTGGCTGTCAGTGTACTTGTGGTATGTGCATTTTTCTGTATGAATATTATATTTCAATACAAAGTAAAAAAAAGTAGGTCATGGTTGCTAGGAGTCAGGGGAAGAAGAGAATGGGGGAGCCACTGCTCAATGGGTACAAAGTTTCAGACTGGAAAATGAGGAGTTCTGGAGATGGATGGTGGTGAGGTTTGCACAATGTCAGTGGATTCAAGGCCACCAAACCATACACTTAAAAATAGTTAAAATGGCAAATTTTATGTTGTGTGTATTTTATCACAATTTTAAAAAGATTACCTCATTTAAGACACAGGAGAAAAGACATGATGCATGTAAGTGTGGTCACTAGAATGTTAAGAGCCTTTACTGCAGGGCACTGGGATTTAAGTGATTTTTATGTTTTTTTTCATATTGCCTACACTGTAAATTTTATTTGCTAAAAAAATCCGAACATAAATGAAGAAAACTCATTTTTAAGGTTAAAAAACGGAAAAAAGTTATTTTCCTGTTGGAAATAAAAAGTCAAATTGTTATGAAGAAAAATATTTTTAACTTTTTTTTAATCTTTAAATTTTTTTATGTTAATCACCATACATCATTAGTTCTTGATGTAGTGTTCCATGATTCATTGTTTGCGCATAACACCCAGTGCCCTATGCAGAACGTGCCCTCTTTAATACCCATCACCAGGCTAACCGATCCCCCCACCCCCCTCCCCTCTAGAAAAAATATTTTTAACTTTTAAAGAGAACCAGTCTTGCTTTTAACCCGAGTAGCAGGATTGCAATATGCTAATACCATATGTCAGGGCCTGATAGATAAGTTACGCTACGGGCCCTCTGGGAAGCTTTATCATTAGGAACAGGAGGAAGCTACGCTTATGTAAATAAACTTGTATATCTGCCGTCTCTCTTCTATGCTCAAGAGAAATCAAACCCACATAGCATTTCAGTAATCAAACTCTGTGAAGTAGCATGCTCTATTAAAAACAATAAAAAAAATGTTTAAATGATTTTTTTAAAAGATTTTATTCATTCATTTGTCAGAGAGAGAGAGAGAGAGAGAGAGAGAGAGAGAGAGAGCGAGAGAGAGCATAAGCACAGGCAGAGGGAGAAGCAGGCTCCCTGATGAGCAAGGAACCCAATGCGGGGCTCCATCCCAGACCCTGGGATCAT